TTTCCAGCAACCAAGATGCGACTTTAAACCCAAATTGCGATCAAACCACTAGTCCAATGGCTACAAAATTTTACAAGTTTATATCCCTAGGTCTAAACCTCACTCAATTTAGAGCTCTGTAACTCAAGATTTGAATTAGATCATAATGATGTTTTGTTATGGAATTAATCATGTAGATTTCAAAGGCTTACGCGAGTAAATTGTTCATCAACATTTACTCAGGTAAATATCTTGATTTACTCAGGTAAATTGCATAACTAAAACACCTATAAATGCAATTTTCGATCTAATTCAATTCAAAATGATTTCTAATGACTTCTAAGACATGTATGAATGTTTCTAACAACCTTTTTGCAGCTTTTTAAGTGTGCGATCTTGTATGCATAATTGGACTATGTGGGTTCCTTTAATGCAAGTTTTTAAATTATGAATACAATTCTGGAAGTAAAGCTCACTAGTCTTCATTCTCTAGGTTTTGATTTTTAAAACTATATTTCTAACTATATGAACATATTTCTTAACATGAATTATTTGGTCTTCATGCTTTAAGCCTTTTAGTTCTTTATTACACTTGAAAGCTTTGACTTGAAGGTTGACTTTTGTCATTTTGAGTTAACCCTTGCTTTTTGAATGTTACTTTGATCTTGATTCACTATTTGGGACTTGTTGCATCATCTTCCAAGTTGTAGTTGCATGTTGAGCTCGAATATGCTTTGTTATTATCAAAACTCCAGTTATTTCACATTTGTAACCTATAAGATTCAACAATCTACCCTTTTTTGAGGAGGACAAACATTTCATTGAGAAATGGGGTTAATAGCACAAAAGTCAAGAATTCATATGCATGTGATACACTACCCCTTGCTAAGTCATTTTTCATACATATATGCAAGTGAAACTGTATTAGATCTAAACTTGATACATTAGAAACATTTCTTATTCTCAACATATTTCTCCCCCTTTTGCCAACATCAAAAAATGCTTGAACATGAATATAACATAAAAATGCAAAAAGTCAACTACTAGTCAATTAAAAGCCTCAAAACCAATTGTTAATGTCTAAGTAATTAAGATTAAGTCAAATCAACTCAATATAATCAAATTTCCAAAAATTACATAATTGTCATCCATTCATAAAGTAGTTAATATTGATCACTTTACTCAACAATGGCATTAAGTAGCTACTAGTTATCATCAAAATACCAACATGGTATCAAAGAATTATTAAAAGTAATCATTTACAAGTAGAAATCATCAAATTAATATTATTATCATAAGTCATCAACTAAAAGTATTGTATAAGCCTAATCCTAATTTCAATCTTTCATATGTATCTTCAGGCAATGACTTAGTGAATATATCGACTAATTGAGCATATGATTCAACAAATTCCATATTAACATCTTTTTGAACATGGACTCTAATGAAATGATGTCTTATATTTATGTACTTAGTCCTAGAATGCATAATAGAATTCTTTGTTAAATTGATTACACTAGTATTATCACATTTAATTGGTATATTGCTTAATGTCAAACCAAAATATTGGTTTTTGTGCTTTATCCATAAAGCTTGTTCCACAAAACTACCAGCCGGTGCATACTCTGTTTCGATAGTTGATAATGCAAAACTAACTTGTTTTTAAATATTCAAAAATACTAATGAATTTCCATATAAGTAGCAAGTACAATTAGTATTCTTTTTATCCAATTTGCAACCAGCAAAATCAGAATCGAAATATCAAATCAATGTAGGTGGAAATCTTTTACGATATCTTAACCCAATATGTGTAGTGTCTACTAAATATCTCATTATCATTTTAATGACATTCATATGTGATTCTTTAGGACATGATTGACATCTAGCACATAAACGTACGCTAAACATAATTTTTGGTCTACTAGTGGTCAAGTATAGTCATGATCCAGTAATACCTTTTATATTTAGTTACCTCAATCGACTTACCATTATCATCCTTGTGAAGTGACATTGAAGTACTCATTGGTGTGTATATGTCTTGCTTTATTTATTGCAAGCGCTTGAGTAACTCTTTGTAATACTTTCCTTGATTAATTAATATTCATTCTTTTTCTTGTTTTATTTGCAATCCGAGGGAGTAGTTTAATTCTCCCATCGTAGACATTTAAAACTTACTTTGCATAACGTTAGAAAATTCTTCACAAAGAGATTCATTAGAAGAAAAAATATGATATCATCTACATAAATGTGAACTAGTAAGGTATGATCATGCTTTTTTTTAATGATCAAAGTAGTATCAACTTTACCTCTCAATAAGTCATGTTATTGGAGAAACTTGCTCAATCTTTCATACTAAGATCTTTCAAACTATCACGTATGCTCCAACAGCTTTTCTTTAAACCATATTATGTCTTCTTAAGTTTATATACATCATTAGGAAATTCAAATTTCTCAAGGCAAAATGTTAGGTTCTATAATCATCAAGAAAAATGTACTTCATATACAATTTCAATCAAAGCTAGATTTACTAATAATCATTAGCAAAAAAGTAAAATTCCGATCAAAGTAAAAAATGTTTCATGGCTCCAAAAATTATTAATTTTGGATATGTTATAATAAACATCTTAAGCTTTATAACAAGAGAAAAGTCACTGCAACCGGAGATCTGTAGCTCAAGATATAATCAGTCAAAGCGTACTAAACAGAAACAGAAAAATATGACAAACAACAATGTTCATTAGTCAACCACGAATAACATATACAAAAAAAAAAAAAAAGTAATTTTCCATAATTGAATTTTATCATGTTAGCTTTCAAATTCCATTGGTTTCATCCAAAAAAGATTTCTATAACTCAAGTTATGAAAGTTTAAAGTAAGCTCCTACAAACCAGAATTTGAAACATAACAATTAACTTTAAAAATTTATTGGGAATAGGGTGATCAAATAAAAATCATAAAAATCATAAACATTTCCAGAATTTATATTTAACATATCTTATCTTCCATTTTCAATTGGTTTCATTCAAAAATGAGTTTTCTAGCTCAACTTATGACCAACTTGGTTCAGCAATGTCAAGAATTCAGCATGTTAACAATAATATATGTTTGAGATGATGTACTATGAAAGTAGTGATCAAGTGTACCAAATAGCTTTCAATATCATTTCATGTAGGCATGAACATATATCATTCTACTAAGGTTTAGAAGGAAAATACCTCAATTATATGAATATTTCAATTTAGAATACATAAAGAGAGGGAACTAGCAAACCTTTGCCTTGTTCATCAAGGAAACATTGCATTTTGATTTTCTTATACATTGATGCATTTCCACTATCTTGATTCTCATAAAGACTATTGCTTATATTCCATTTTGAGCTCTTTGCCTTACCATTGTACTAGAAGGCAAAAGATACAAAGGTACCTACAACATAACTCATTTAACAAAATTCTGATACCCAACTCATTGTACCAGAAGGCAAAAGATACAAAGGTACAATACAACACAACTCCTTAGGAAACCGATATTTTTGTTCAGATCTAGGAAAATTAAGTAATTATTAATTGTATTTAATAGCCAAGAGAGAGAAAAGAGAATATATCTCCTGCAAATTGCTATAAAACGTGATTATGAGAGAAAAAATGTGATTATGTGCTATAAAATAAAGAAGGAGAGAGAAACTTAAAATAAAGTAATAAATATTGATGTAAAATATTTTTTTATTTCTCTCTCATAAACTTGTTGGAACATACAACGACTTTTTGTCAAAAAAGTGCCACGTGGATTGATGGGTTGACTGGCCAAAATCACTACACTGTGCAGCATGTTACGTGACCTTAAAAAATTGCCATGTATGCAGACCTAACTCGCTACGTGTTGTAGCGAGTTAGGTGACTAGCATTTTAGCAAATTTTTATTGGTGCGTTGCATTCCAGGATAATTTTTACCAACACATGTCAAAATGATTGTTGTCCCATAAAACATAGGCAATAAACATCACCATAAATTAACCATTAATAACCATTAATCAATCCAGTTTTTCATATTAAACTTTGAGTAAATATCCTTTTGGGTCCCTAACAAAAAACACAGTCCCCACTTTAGTCCCTTACAAAAAATAATTAGTCTCGAGGTCCCTAACAAATTCAAAATGGACTAAAATGGGACCCCGAAACTAATTTTTTTTTTTTTTGATAACAAAAACTAATTATTTTTTGTAAGGGACTAAAATGGGAACTATGTTTTTTGTCAAGGACCTAAAAAAGTATTTACTCTTAAACTTTTGAATTATGTTTTCAACACTTACCAAAACACAAAAAATCAAATAGGTTACATAAGCTTTGAATACCAACAACACAACACCCTACCAATGAACATTGTGCTTTTGGAAATATTCCAATCGGTTCATCGCTTCGCAACTGATCCGATTCGGGGCGGGTCCAGGATTAAGGCTTTAAACCCCTCCCAAAGGTGGTACTGGGAGGATGAACATTGTGCTTTTGTGCTACACTCTATTGTGCCTTTCTTCAAATTTAGTGTCAGAGTTAGTTAAAAACATTTTTATATCAAAGACATTATACCACACATGACATTGTACCATTGAATTAATATCACTTATGTTATAAGAAATAATTTTATCTTTTATACATATATAAAAATGTGTAAGACTTATTTTTTCTCTCTTTTTTTCACATGAAATCAAATAGGTTCAATACACTTTTATATATGTGTAAGAGATAAAAACAACAAATCAATGTACCATTAATATTTTATTATTATTATTTTTTAACCAAAGTTTTAAATGAAACAATTATATAATAATTAATACTTAAAATAACTTATAGAAGAAAATAAAAAAAATAAAAAATAAAGAGATTGTGGATTGGATAGGTGTCACAAAAACCGTGACCCATTCGAACAATGATCTCCTAAAAAACCTACCTCCTTCTTTTGACCACCCCCTTAAAAACTCTTCCCTCGTTCGTTTCTCAGTTTGTTACCTCTCTTTCTCTCTCCAAAATTTTCTCTCTCCAATTTCCAAATCAGCCATTTTGATCTCTCTCTCTCTCTCTCCTCTCTTCTCCTTCCCCCTCTCTCTTTTTTTATTTTTTATTTTTCCATCTTTTTTCCCTTTCTATCTATCCATGTGTGTATCGTCTTGCACAGCAATAACCATTCAAAACCCTAATTTGACACACACTCCACTCTTCAGGTGCTTCACACTGTTCCAAAACTGTGTTTTTTATTTACCATTTTGCCCCTCCCCTTTTTTTTTATCTGTATTTGAAAATTTGATTTTTGATTAATGGGGTTTCTGATCCGCCTGTTTGGTTGCAGGGAAAATTGAAAGAGGAATTTTTTCTTTCTCTCTTTTTTTTCTTTTTTTTCTTTTTGTGTTTTTGAAAATTGTTTTCTGAGAAATCAAAGGGTTCGGATATATGTCCGTCAATCAATCAAAGTCCGATAAGAGCGACGCCGTGTACCGAAAATCCGGTCGATCCTCGAGCTTCAATCAGCAGCGAGGTTCCTACGGCAGAGGCGGAGGCGGCGGTGGCGGAGGGCCCGCGCCGTCGAGCACCTCGGCTTCATCACTCTCCACTAGCCGGAGGTGAGTTAGGGTTTGCAAATTTGTATGCTTATTAATTTTTTTAATTTTTAATTTTGGTTCTTGTTTTTTGATGAATAATGGGTATCTGGCTTTGTTTTTGTGACACGTGGTTTGATGATTCATTAGGTTTCTTTTTTAATAACACAATTATGAGTAGTTTAGTTCTTTTTCGTTTTTGCTCTTTTTTTTCTGTTTTATTGATTATGCATGTTGCTTGTTCTAGTTTTAACAAGAGGTCTAATAATGCACAAGGTGGGCAATCTAGGGTAAACCCTTCCCAGGTGAATACAAATGAGTCTAATATTGCTTCTTCTGCCCGGACCAATCAGAATGGTACCCGTGTACAGCCGCAATCACATGGTAAGCTTTAGGAAGATTGTTTATTGATTTATTTTTGTAAAAAAACGAGTGTGATTCTTCTCTTCAGGTGGATTTTGGTGTCTGGTTGTGTTGTTGAGTAAAAATTTACTGCAGAGGAACTTGTGGAAGATCCCTCCCTCTTTATATGGGAAGAATCTGCAAATGTTGCTAGTGTGATTGAGTGTTTGGTGAATTATGGTGTTCTTTATAATGTGCTTCATTTGTTTACGTGGTATGATAGGAACATCTGATGGGCCTGTTACAAAACCATCTGAATCATCAGCTACACAGAGGAGTGCTAGAGTTGTTCCAAAAGCTCCAACTTCTCAACTGCCCCCCATGAGATCTGATTCAGCTGCTCCTACAAGCCCTGCTAAGGGTATGTTAGTCTTGTAGGTTTTTGTTGTGGTTAATTCCTATTTTTGTGACTTTTGTAGCATGGATCATATTAAATGGTCCTGTTGCAAAATGATTTTCCTTATTAGCTATTAGTTGTTTGTGAGTTGTGAAACTGAAGTAATCTGAATGTTTATGGCTGTCCCAGTAGATGCATCTAAGGCATTCCCTTTTCAATTTGGATCCATAATTCCTGGCTTGATGAATGGCATGGCAGTAAGTTTCTTATATATTATTTGTTTAACATCTGATGTATGACATATTTTATGTAGGGTGGGTGAATAATTGATCATGTTCTTGTTATAATATGCAGATTCCTGCTCGTACGAGCTCAGCTCCTCCTAATATAGATGAGCAGAAGCGTGATCAGGTATGCACTTTTGTTATTTTTTTACCCGTTTTTCCGTGATGTTTGTATTATTATTTAGATATGGATGTAATGCCACTGCTCACTCTTTCCAAAGGAAAAAGATTTTATCTTATGAAGAAAACCACTCCCCATTGAACCCCTGCTAGTGAGGGTAGGGATAAGGGCAATTCTTGTACACATCTTTTCCCTTGATATTTGCAAAGAGGCTCTGTATCCCGCATTCAAATACTTCATCTTTCAGTCACAAAGGAGAAGCCTTATCACTGCTCCATTCTATCTTATGAAGAACTGGTTTAGAAATAGAATCTGAAAAAGGAGTGCCTTGTTTTTCTGTACTTTGTCTATTGAAGTTGACAGCTTGCTCTGTGTTTTTGTGGCAATGAAAGTTTTTACTCGATGTCTAATTCCTTGACTTTCAGGCTCGTCACGACTCTTATAAATCTGTGCCTTCAGTGCCAACACCTGTTCCAAAGCAGCAGCAACCACCTAGGAACGATGCAGGTGTCACTGAACAATCTAATGCCAGGGAGACTCATATAGGGACTAAGGCAAAAAAGGATCCTCAGCTGTCAACTTTGACCCCGGCAAGCCAGATGCAGAAGCCTTCTGTTGTTCCTGTAACTGGAATTTCAATGGCAACGGCATATCACCAGTCACAGGCATCTTTACAGTTTGCTGGTCCTAATCCACAGATCCAATCTCAGGGTGTGTCAACGACATCCCTCCAGGTGCCTATACCAGTGCCTTTTCCAATTGGAAATGCTGCACACGTTCAACAGCCGGTTTTTGTTCCAGGTCTTCAACCTCTTCCAATGCATCCTCAGGGGATCATGCATCAAGGCCAAAACATGAGTTTCACTTCTCAAATGGGTCATCAGTTGTCCAATCAATTAGGCAACATGGGCATTGGCATTAGCCCCCAATATCCCCAGCAGCAAGGTGGAAAATTTGCTGGTCCGCGAAAAACTACTACTGTGAAGATAACTCATCCTGAGACGCATGAAGAACTGAGGCTTGATAATAGGGCAGATGCATATTCAGATGGTGGGTCATCTGGTGCTAGGTCACATCTGAACATACCTTCTCCATCTCAACCTGTTAAATCTTTTGCGCCTTCCCATCCTATGAACTATTATCCACCCAGCTCATATAATACCAATTCTCTCTATTTTCCAGCTTCTAGTTCTCTTCCGTTAACAAGTAGCCAGATAACACCTAATTCTCAGCCACCAATATTTAATTATCCTGCGAACCATGGTCCGCAAAATGTGGGTTTCATGAATTCACAATCACTTGGTTCCCTACCAGTTAATAAAACTATTATTCCTGGCATTGTTGAACCACCTATTCCTGAACATTCCAATGACGTGCCTAATGTGAAGTCAACAGGTACTTTGGGGGTAGCTTCCGTGACTATTAGGCCAAGTGGTGTGTCTGCTGTGGTGGACCCATTATTGTCCAATCCTGGTATTTCTGGTGGTCAAAATAAAGAATCCCCTAGTTCAGCACCATCTTGTGATGCTAGCTCCTCTGTGCCACAAAAAGGGGCTGAAACTTGTTCAGAAATCCCTTCACAACAGTCTAAGTTGCCCAGTGATTCTTTAGTTTTGAGTTCATTGTCAAAACAATCTGCTACTGTAACTGCTGAGAAGCTTACTGCTACTCCCTTGATGATGCCTTCGTCAGCTGTGAGCGAGGATTCTGTCTCAGTCGTGTCTAATAATGAAGGCAGAAGGATTGAATCTCTTAGAAGTTCCAGCTCTTTGAAGGATAATCAGAAGAAACCAGGGAAGAAAGGTCAATCACAGCATGAGGTATCTGAGTGAAATACTATTCACACACACACATTGATCTTGGTTTACTTAATATATGTACTTTTTGTTTTTCCCACAGGTCTCTTTACAGTCTCCTACAGTAGCTAATATGCCTTCTCGAGCTGTTGACTGTGGTATACCTGATACTGGAGTTTCTGAACCTGTAGGAGGTAAAACAAACCATTCTGAGGCAATTAACACTGAAGATCTTCCAACATGTGACACAATACCTAGTAGCATTTCTAGTGGTATTGAAGTGAAAACCAACTGCTATGCTGAAGTTTCTGCTTGTGTTTCAGCTGAACGATCTTGTGGTGAAGCTGCTGATAATTTGAAAAATCATAGGCATGATAAGTTGGATGAATCATCCGAAGGTAAACTATTAAGGTGTTATGATAAATATGATGAACCAAATATTAAATCTGGTGGAACAGAATTTAAGCAAACAGAAAAAGATGCTGCAAATGTAAACGCTGAGGTGTTAAACTTGAAAGCTGTACAGAAAGAACAGGATGAATCTGCAACTTGTATTGCAGAATGTGACATAACAGGTGATAATTTAGGCATGTCTATCTGTACTGCATTGGTTTTTAGAGATTAAGTAGAAATTATAGTATAATTACTAATTGGTTTGTATCTGGAAATTTTGATTCATCAGATCTGAAGTCTGCTGATCCTCCAGAAACAACTTCAAAGTACGTCATGGACAATTCTGAGAATGCTGGCGATGACTCAGTGTCTCTTTCAGTGTCAGGTACCAACGATAGACCAATTTTAGAACCAAATAAGATGAAAACTACATCTAAAGGGAGGAAGAAAAGAAAAGAGATTCTTCAAAAAGCAGATGCCGCTGGGTCTACTTCTGATCTTTATAATGCCTACAAGGGACCCGATGAAAAGAAAGAAGCTGTCTTGAGTTCAGAGAGCTCAGAAAGTGCTTCTACTTCCGGAAGTTTGAAGCATTTGCCCGCAGATGCTGCTCAGCCGGATGCTATAACAAGTGAGGATTGTGGACAAAGTAAAGCTGAACCCGACGACTGGGAGGATGCTGCTGATATGTCTACACCAAAACTGGTAGTTGCTGATAAATCTCAACAGGTCAGTGATGGAGATGGAGGCACAGCCAAAAAGTATTCTCGTGATTTCCTTTTGAAATTTGCAGAGCAATACACTGATCTTCCTGAAGGTTTTGAAATTGTGGCAGAAGTAACTGAGGCTTTGATGAGCACTAGTATTAATAGTTCTCATGTAATTGAGCGTGATACACAGCCTAGTCCTGGAAGAAATCTAGATAGGGCAGGTGGGATGTCTCGGATAGATCGCCGTGGGAATGGTGTGACTGAGGAAGACAGGTGGAATAAAGTTTCTAATGCATTTTATTCTGGACGTGGTTTGGATGGTATTGGAGGTAATGCGGGATTTCGATCTGGCCAAGGAGGAAATTTTGGGGTTTTAAGGAACCCTCGTCTACAGACACCTGTTCAATATGCTGGAGGGATCCTTTCTGGCCCAATGCAATCTGTGGGAAATCAGGGTGGAATGCAAAGAAATAGCCCCGATGGGGAGAGGTGGCAGCGTGCTTCTAGCTTCCAGCAGAGGGGTTTAATTCCTTCTCCTACTCCTCAAACTCCTTTACAATCGATGCACAAAGCTGAGAAGAAGTATGAAGTGGGTAAAGCGGCAGATGTGGAAGAGGTAAAGCAGAGGCAGTTGAAAGCCATCTTGAACAAACTAACTCCCCAGAATTTTGATAGACTTTTTGAACAGGTAAAAGCAGTTAATATTGACAATGCAGTCACTCTCACTGGTGTCATCTCACAAATTTTTGAGAAGGCTCTGATGGAGCCTACCTTCTGTGAAATGTATGCCAACTTCTGTTTACATCTGGCTTCTGAGTTGCCTGATTTCAGCGAGGACAATGAAAAGATAACTTTTAAAAGGTTATTATTAAACAAGTGTCAGGAGGAATTTGAGAGGGGTGAAAGAGAACAAGAAGAAGCAAATAAGGTTGATGAGGGTGAGGTCAAGCAGTCTAATGAAGAAAGGGAACAGAGAAGAGTCAAGGCAAGAAGACGCATGTTGGGTAACATCAGATTGATTGGAGAACTATATAAGAAGAGAATGTTGACAGAGAGGATAATGCATGAGTGCATCAAGAAGTTACTGGGTCAGTATCAGGATCCTGATGAGGAAGATATTGAAGCTTTGTGCAAGCTGATGAGTACTATCGGGGAGATGATTGACCATCCCAAAGCCAAAGTACATATTGATGCATATTTTGAAAGGATGAAATTATTATCAAACAACATGAATTTATCTTCTAGGGTGAGGTTCATGTTGAAGGATGCCATTGATTTAAGAAAGAATAAATGGCAACAAAGGAGGAAAGTTGAAGGTCCTAAGAAGATTGAGGAGGTACACAGAGATGCTGCACACGAGAGGCAGGCCCAAGCTGGTAGGCTGGGTCGTGGTCCAGGCAACAATCAGTCTGCTAGAAGGAACCCCATGGATTTTGGTCCAAGAGGGTCATCTATGTTGTCTTCTCCTAATTCTCAGATGGGAGGACTGCGTGGGCTGCCTAATCAAGTTCGTGGGTATGGTGGTTATCAGGATGCTCGTTTTGAGGAAAGGCAATCTTATGAGGCTCGGACCTTATCAGTTCCTTTGCCTCAAAGATCCTTAGGTGATGATTCTATAACCTTGGGACCTCAAGGTGGTCTTGCTAGGGGAATGTCCATTAGAGGATCAACAGCAATTTCTAATTTGCCGATATCTGATGTGCTTTCTGTCCCTGGAGATTCTCATAGAATGACTACTGGTCTTAATGGTTATAGCAATACATCAGAGCGCTTACCATATAACTCAAGGGATGATCTTGCATCAAGATATATAACGGATAGGTTTTCAGGTTCAGCTGCTTATGATCAATCAAGTGCTCCAGAGCGTAATATAAACTATGGTAACAGAGACTTGAGGAATTCAGATCGGAATCTTGACAGATCTGTTGCAACTTCACCTCCTGCTCAATTGCAAGGGTCAATAGTCTCCCAGAATGCTTCTTCAGAGAAGGTTTGGCCAGAAGAACGACTGCGGGACATGTCCATGTCAGCAATCAGAGAATACTACAGGTATTGTTTTCTTTGTGTGGTGTTTTTATCTTCTGTTACAGCTTTTGTGGGCAGTTTATACTCTTGCTGATATTCTTGAACCTACAGCTTACAATTTATTGTCTTTAATTACAATCATGGGTATATTGGACATGTCCAATTTCTCTTGGGGTGGGAATCTTGTTCCTCGTTATTGCTTGAATGCCCTTTCTTTTTTCCTATGAAATAAAAGACTTTTGGTTCGTGTTATGTTGTATCAAGTAGGGTGTATGTTCCCTTTCTTTGTGGATGTGTGAATTTCAAAGCACAAGATATAAATTATCTTTCAAAGCATTTGAATTCCTTTATTGTTTAAAAAATAAAGGAATTTAAAGTTTGACACCTCATCTAAGAGCCGTTAGATCAAAAACGATCAATGACTCTGATTTGTAAGCATGTGACACCATTGATCTTTTTTGATCTAACGGCTCTCAGATGAGGTGTCAAAGAATCCTACTCTTATATATATATATATATATATATATATATATGAGCTGTTATAGATTGTACTAAGTTCCAGCTGTGAGACTTGACCGGATGGGGGCAATTTGAAGTGGAAGTTTTCAATTTCAAGAGAATTATTGGTTATTGACATTTTTCTTTTGGTAGATTGGTCATGGACATTTATCTTAAGGGGCTTCTGTGTAGTTTTTGATTTGACCCTTTTACATTAATGACATTTTAAACTAGAGACTTCTTAATGGCTGGCTGAATCTTTAAGCATACATATGGGGTTTTTGGTTTGTTATAATTACATGTTAGAAGCCACTGTGATAAGATGTTGAAGGAAGCATAAGATGTCGTTTCTGGTTACTTTAATAAACCTATGTGTTTGTCGATCTTACAGCCTAGATTGAAATCCAGCCGGTTGGAGTTGGGGATGTGCAGTGAGGGTGGTAGTGTTTAATCCCCACAAATTCTCTCCATTCCAATTTCTCTTCCCCTCTCTCTTAGAGAGAGATAATATAAAACCATTGATGAGCCTACACTTACCAACTTTAGTTGTTGGGTGAGATGTTTGTTTATCATGGTATCAGAGCCTTCGTGATTACGGGGTTATGAGTTCAATCCTCACCTCCCCCCACTTTCTAGTGGAATTAAGTCAGCATAAGGTAGGATAAATTTTTACAATATCTACGTTGGGCTATTGCGTGAGGGAATGTGTTAGAGAGATATAATATAAAACCATTGATGGGCCTTCACTTAGCTTGAATTGTTGGGTGATATGGTTGCATATCAGTCTCCAACGCAATATCCAGTGTTACAGGGTGGGTCTTAGGCCTTGCGCCCCATCCCAAAACTAAATAAATAAATAAATTAAGGTTCTAATAGTAGATGATATGCAATTTTATCTTCTGACATGTTATGATCATTGTCAACAGATTCTAGGTCGTGTGTCTGAGGACAGGGTTGATCATATAACTTTTAAACGCAAATAAGACAGATTTGTCCTATTTATGGTGATTGCTTTTTATATATAGGTTGAATGTTTTTGTGTGGTGTTATTGTCTTGTTATGTTTCGTTCAAACATGTCTCAAGTGATTTACCCACTAATGACTTGAGGCCAAATTCCTCAATTAACTTTTATTATTTAGCTAGTTGTCTTTTTGTTTAGAGCTTCACTCACAAACGATAGCTGTGCTGAGAACGTTGCATATTGAGCTTCTTTTACTCTTGATATTAAAGACATACAAATGTTTATTACATTCACATCCCATGTATCTAACCACTTCATTTAATTTAGGAAATTATTTTCATTTTGATACAGCTTCGTACTGTGTCAATGGAATGTGCTGGTGCCAATTATAATCTTTGGAACTTTTATGGATCTTTTTTTTTTATGATTGCGCTGTGGTTACTTGCTTTTTTTTTTTAGTACAAATTGTAATTGGTTTCGGATGTTGAATAGTTAATTGATTTAGGGAAAAAAAAATTAGATTACTACCTTTTTTTTATTTTCTTTTTGCAATCCCATAGTTTAAGCAGAAATAGCTCATGATTACATTAACATCCATTCATTCCTTTTGAATTCCTAATTATCCAAATCACTCCAAACATTCCGAGGCTGGGACATGAAATCCAGCACATAAAATGATTTAATCGGAGAATGGGACTTTGAAGTGATCAGGGTATGCAACACTAGTCATTTACATGAATTTTTTAATTAAAAAATGAACATAAAAATCACAGGGTAATAAAACAATATTATTATAAAGTAAGCTTAAGGAGTTGAATCACTATTTTCAATCACCATGTTCAAAGTAAACTTTAGCAAATTATGTGGTTACTTGTCTATCTTTTTTTTTTGAAATTTTTTTTCTCATTCCATAGAGGATTGAACTGTCCTAGCAGTTGTCTTCTGATGAAAAAAAATACCATATAGCAGTTGGATTTTGTGAAATATTCACCTGTATATTTCTTGGATTTAGAAAGGAGATTATTGTGAAGCTGCTCCTGGCTACATTGAATTCAGTGATTTCTTTTTTGTCTTGGCTTCCTGTATATGTTGGACATTTTTAATGATTAAGTTTTAGTGTTATGCTTATAATTATTATTGATGGGAGCCAGATTAAATTCACTATGTATGCTGACAGAGGCAGATGGGTTTTCTATTTCATTTTGTGTAGTGTTACACTGGTGAATTTATTTGCCCGATACATTGTTGTGTAATTAATCTGACTGAAATTGCATAAATTTCAGTGCTAGAGATGAGAAAGAAGTTGCTTTATGTGTCAGAGATTTGAACTCTCCAAGCTATCATCCTTCCATGGTTTCACTCTGGGTCACAGACTCATTTGAGAAAAAGGACATAGAGAGAGATCTTTTAGCCAAACTGCTTGTCAACCTTGTGAAATCTCAGGATGGCACCTTGACTCAAGCTCAGCTCATCAAAGGGTAAGATTTATTTATCAATATAGTGACTAGTAGAGAGAATTCTTTTTACTTATTCCTTTTCATGCTGGCTAGGTTTGAATCTGTTCTTAGTACATTGGAAGATGCTGTTAATGATGCCCCCAGAGCAGCAGAGTTTCTTGGCCGTATTTTTGCAAAAGTCGTAACAGAGAGTGTAGTCACATTGAATGATATTGGCAAGTTAATACATGATGGTGGAGAGGAACCTGGGAGTCTCTTAGAAGCTGGACTTGCAGGTGATGTTCTTGGAAGCATTTTGGAGGTAATAAAATCTGAGAAAGGTGATGTGATTCTAAATGAGATTCGTTCAAGCTCTAACTTGAGGTTGGAGACTTTCCGGCCTCCTAATCCCATGACATCAAGGAAGTTGGAGAATTTTATTTAGATGATAGTGGTGATGCTCATTGTATGCTTTTTACATAGAGGGGTGGCAAAAGTTATTAGTTTTAGTGCTTCCGGGGTTACTCAATTTGCATAGAGATTTTTTCTCCGTGAGATGGGTTGGGTAGAAAATTTTATATATGGAATTTCTTTGTCTTGTTATTATTTCTCTGACATCTTCACTACAATTGTAAAAGGTTCACTTGAGAGCATCAGAAATTTTAGGCTGAATTATTATGTCTGCTTGATGATGGCCTCTGCATAATTTCGTTGTAGATGTAAAAAGTTTCAATGAGCACATCAAGAATCTTTTCATCTTGTTCTTAAATGCGCTTATTGATGGAAAAATTGAAATGGTAAAAATTACTTGCTAACAGGTTTCGTAAGGCCAAAAGATTAAAAATGAATTTGTAGTTATGGTCGAGGTCCATTTTGTGCTATCAATGTTGTTAAGTTGTTACTCAATCCATCTATTTGTATTTTTTAAATTGTCCTATTCAAATGTACCCATTTTTGTCTCCTTTTACAAATCATCCAAAAGGAGAAAGATGGTTCAATCTTGCACTTTATTTCCATACTTGTCATTTTTTATTTTATATATATATATTTTGTAAGTTGGATGTGAAAATAGTCCTTTTCTATTTGGAATACATTACAAGTGAATTACAATTGTCACATTGCAAAATTTTCTATATTTTTATTTTTATTTTTTTAATATATTTCTTTACTATTTTTTTATTAAAATTTTCTTTCACTCATTTATTTTTTTAATTTTCAAACGTTCAAATTTTTATTTTATTTTTTACAGTTATTTTTCTCTTTTTTTTAAAAAAAATAGCTATTTGGAGTGCATTAATTTATTTATATTTTGGAAAAAGAGTGTATTAATTTTTAATAAATTAAAAAATGGATACTTTATTACATATATTATTCTTAAATAAAGATATGGACATACATTTGTATAATACTCATTAAGTACTATTTGTCCCCATTTATATATTTCATCATCTGTTAATCTCATTGTTGAAAGATTTAATGAAAATAATATTTTAACAATATTATTTATTTTACAATTTCTATATTTTATTGATAATATATTTTAATTTCATTTATATAAATAATATTAGCATATGGTGTGTCGATATATATATATATATATATATATATATATATATATATATATATATATATATATATATATATATATATATATATATATATATATGGAAAAGTGTTTGTCATTTTAAATGACAGAAAATTATATCATTTTAAGAGAGATACAGACACAGAAAATTTGAATTTTAAATTAAAAAAAATCTCCCACTTTCTCTCCCATGATTTTCGTTTTTCTGTTTCTATCTCTATCTTAAAATGACATAACTTATGTCATTTAAAATGACAAACACCAAATCCATATATATATATATATATATATATATATATATATATATATATATATATATATATATATATATATCACATCATGAAATAAATTTTTATATAACTTTAAAGTTTTCAATTGAAGAAAAATGATTTTATTGGATGAAATAATCAATATTAACGATACAATTTAAAAATAGTGAAGTTTGAATGTTAGAAGTCAATTCAAGTAATAGTTGTAGCTGCTTACGTTTTCCCAGCATCTAAATTAAAAATCTTACACACGCACGCACACACTCTAAATTGAAAATCTTATACACTCGCGCGCGCATATATATATATATATATATATATATATATATATATATATATATAGAGAGAGAGAGGGGGTAGGATCATTTGATATCGGTGTCAAATTTGAAATTTGACAACTCACAGCCGTTAGATCAAAAAATATCAATGGTGTCACATGCTTACAAATCCGAGCCGTTGATATTTTTTGATCTAACGGCTCTCAGATGAGGTGTCAAATTTCAAATTTGACACTAGTATCAAAGGATCGTACCTCATATATATATATATATATATATATATATTGGGTTAATAATTAATAAATTATTAATATCAATGTTATATAAAAATAAATAGTTAAAAGTATAATTTAGTTATTAAATTGTTTATCTAATTTTAATTTTAATTTTTACACTGGATCATTAATTACTCGGTTAATCTGGTTCGAGGCAAACAAGACCACAAATGCGACAAAACTCTTTTTACCATTTAATACAACTTTACACTAAAATTTGAACTCAAGAATATTGATTAAGTTGGTATAATCCCACACATAAAACCCTTATTTATATTTTAGTTAAAGTTGGAACATATTACATATGCTAATTGCACACCATTTATTGGTCCAGTGCTAAATCAATCCTTATATGCTGGTGTGATGTATAAAGCCTGATATTATAAGCTTATATTATACGTTACGACATTTTTAATTGTTTGGTGTGACCATCGTATAGTATAAGCTTATACAGCAGGATCCCTTTATACATCAAAATGATGTATAACTTAATTAGGCTTAGGAGGGTAGGATTAGGCCTGATAAGAGATTGATGTATTAACCAATGCAAGTCTCAAGTATTAATATATTATTTTAATATTAGTATATTAAAATAAAAAATAATTTTTCAATATATAATTTTTAAAATATTGGAAATTTTTATTTTTATAAAAATTAATATATTTTTTGGACACACTGATCAACATCTTTCTATAAAAAATAATATAATACGATATATTTGGAAGAATTATGTAAATTCATTATTAAAAGATATTTTTGGCAAAAATATTTATTTTTAACCTATCTAGTATTATATAATATATTACCAAATATTGAATGATATTATCTTATACAATATCATGCCAAACGCTGGATAGTATTAAAATTTAATCAAGTTTTATACAATAATACCTTATACTATCAGGTCTTATACTATCAGGCATTATCTTGTACTATATACCAAACATGCCCTTAGAGTATTAAGAACTATAATTTTGTGTCAAAAAGAGAAAGAAATTTTGAAAGATAGCATTGGCTAAGGAACACCTAATATAAATATGCCATGTGATCATTTTTTATACTTTCTAAGGTTGTTGCATTTGTACTTAGTACTTAATTAATCTCCGGAATATAAAATAATAAGTTATACAACCATATATGAATATTAACATCAAAAGCTAGCTTAGAACAATTCAATGGGAAAATAATTAGTCAAAGACCAGACACATCTAAAGGAACAAATTTTTGACAATTCACCACAGGCTGTAAAGCTGTATTTCAATTCGAACATCTGTGTATCCGAACTGTCTGATATTATTATAATATATAGTCTTAAGAAACAAATAATGATAACTACTGAACATTCTAACCATTCTTTTTTGTTATAAAACATTCAAATAGATCAAGTATACTTTTTAAAGTTGAACATAAGATGCTTTACAACATGATAATTTTTAAAAAGTTTTGACTTTGTAATGATGTTGCACGCTCGCAATATACTAATCCCTAGAATAAAATTATAGTTCATATTGTTTTTTGTAGATAGCTACTTTGGAAAAAAAAAAAATGAATGATATGAAAATAAAATAAACCTAGAATGATTGCATATATAGAACTAAATGCTCCGGTTCTTATAGGAATAGCCATTCCGAAAGGAAATAGAAAAAGACCAAATTTTAGAAGATGTTCAAAATGGAGTTGCACTTTGTGCATATTCTTCTCTTATTTTCTCTTTCTTTCTTTACATGTGTTAATGGTGTGCACTTTGTGCTGATTCATGGAGGTAGCCATGGTGCATGGTGTTGGTATAAGGTGGCAACTCTGTTGAAATCTGCTGATCATAATGTTACAACTTTTGACTTGGCTGCTTCTGGTGTCAACCCAAAGCAGGTGCAAGAGATTAGTTCAATTTCAAAATACTATGAACCTTTGATGACATTGATGGATTCTCTTCCGCCAAAGGAAAAGGTGATTCTTGTTGGTCATAGTCTTGGTGGGATATCCATGTCTCTTGCTATGGAAAGGTTCCCTGAGAAAATCTCAGTTGCTGTTTTTGTTACTGCATATGTGATTAGTGCAAACCTCACATATCCAGCTCTTCTTCAAGAGGTACATACATTGCTTTCTCTCTTAATATCATACTTTTTTAGGCAATCAAAGACAAATTTTTTAGAGCTTTTGAGTGTATTATTATGCAAAAGTTTCAGAAGAAGTGTATGGATTATTTTTTAAGGTTCCATAAGTTAGCATTATGTCATATCTCAAATTAGAGGAGGATTAATTTATATTTGTATAAAAATAATAAGTCTTACATTGAATTTTAGCCATTGATTCCAATTATATTCAACGGATAATATGACTAATAAAATAGAGCTATTAGATGCAACCGTGATCTAACGGCTAATAAGAAATTAACATTTTATTAAATTATAATCTGAGAGAGTGAGCCTTGGAGCAGTGCTAATATTATTCTCTGTGATCAAAAGATTTCAGGTTCGAGTTAGAAAAATAACCTAGTTACAAAAATATAAGAGTAAGATTGTGAACAATAATTCATCATCCCTACTCTTGGAAGTCAGAAAACATTATGCATAAGGTTTGCCCTTTTTATTAAATTATAATTTGAGTAATTTTTGCAGCTGAAGACAAGGGCGGGTTCCTCTATGGACATGGGCCTAACAAACCTCCAACAGCTAGATTGACTGGACCCAAATTCATGGCAACCAACATGTATCAATTATCACCACCTGAGGTAAAAAATTTCAAATGAACTCAATCTAGTTTTTGGTACCCATTTATTGAGGTAATAACAAGTGATTATAAATTTATAATGAAACTAATCTGAATTGAAATATGTAGGATTTGACCCTTGCATTGTCCCTGGTGAGACCTGTACCTATTTATAATGATGTTGAACTATTGTTGAAAGAAACAACAGTTACCAATGACAGAAATGGAAAGGTACCTAAAGTTTTTATCATCAGCAAAAGAGACAATTTGATAACAGAGGATATACAAAAGTGGATGATTGAAAGAACTGGTCCATTTGCTGAGTTGAAAATGATAAAAGATTCTGATCACATGGTCATATTCTCCAAACCAAAGAAGCTTAGCTCTCGCCTTCTAAAGATTGCACAAAAATATTAATCCTTAATTGTTAATGTGCCTCATTTGACACTTTCTTTTTCTATACTTTTAGTGTATATATATATATGGTGTTCTTACCTGCCATGTCCCAAAAACAAAAAGGATGGGCCAGAATAAGAATATATTTCAATTATGATTTCAATTTCCACTTAATATGTATAATTGGCGGGTCCTGTTGTTTTTCTTCCTTCTATTTCTGTGTGTAACATAAGCATAGTTTTTCCTTAAATTCCTATGATATAGTTTTTCCTTCGCTTTCACAATTGAGGGATCACACCTGACTCCCCTCATATTGCATTTAACTCCTCTACCAGAAAATTGCCAGTAGTCTTTTTTTTTTTGGTCAACCATATATGGCTACTTTAAAATAGTGCATCTTAATATGGATCCAACAAGTGCTCAAATCAAACTAGTCATGAAATCAATGAATGAGTTGGGTAAAAAAAATACTGCATCTTGTCCTTAGAGAACCATGCTTTTTGTTTTTGGTTTTTTGGGGTCAGATGTTGTCACAGTAAAAATCCATACCCCTATATAATACACAAAGAAAACTAGATATCTCTGGTTCCAAATGCTCATATTATATGAGCTTGGGATTACAGAGATATCTCATCTTTTAATCAAAATAAGGAATTTGTATATACTCATATACTTATGTTCAAAAAAAGAAGATTTGTATGTTTGGTTTATCTTCTTTGGTAACTTATTTTATCTTATCTATTATTCAAACTAAATTTGAGTTTTAATTAGTTTAGTTTGATTGTATATATATATATATATATATATACATGTTATATTGGTGGCTGTAAATGATATACAAGAAATATAAAATATCATTTTCTTCTATTTTTTCATTGGAAAGGAAAGTGTGTCTTATTACTGTATATACCTTCCCAAATAACAAGGAGAAAGCATTACAGTTATATTGTTGCTTAAATTCTTGTCATCTTAAGAACAACTCCATGGCCAGGCACTATAACCAAACGGAAGGCAGGTGAATGGCGGTAACTTGAAGAGAGAGAGAAGCGAAACTTCAACAGAATGAGAGATAAAATCACCTTCAGTTCTGTCATGGCTAAATGCTGTCCAACACAGACACGAGCACCTATTCCAAATGGTATATAAGCTTGTGCATTCTTGCAAGCTCCAAGCACCCCATTTGCAAATCTTTCTGGATTGAACTTGTAAGCATCAGGCCCCCACAACTCAGGGTCTTGCTGCAGTATTGAGATTGGAATCTGAATATTCATTCCTTTTGGAATTAGGATACCTTTTAAATTGATATCATGCAAAGCTGTTCTCACAACAAATGCTGATGGTGGATAAAGCCTCAGAGTCTCTTGAATCACCATGGTTAACTGCAGGTATAAATTATAGAAGATCTTGAATTGATCAGTAAGAATGCTCATGAAACTCTGAAAAGATTTACTACAATTATATTGATAAAATTGATACACAAAACTGTTCTAGACCGGCATCACAGTCCAAGATTATGGGCTGGTGCTTAGGCCCAATCAAAGGGTCACTCCCCTGCCACCCTATAGTGAGAACCATGGATCTCATTGTAGATGATTTCTCACTCCCCAATACAGCTCACCACTTTACACATTAGTGGTGCACTACCGCACCACAGTAGTGAGGACTTGAACAAACAGCTTTGGCTCCTTTCTCTTTTATCAGTAGGGAATATTTTTCACTTATATATACCTCTCTTCACCCATTGAAGAGGCATCCAATACTTTTATGATCAAAACTATACTGAAATATTGAGTCATCATGCCCTTACGGTGACTCTTCCAAGAGCTTTGATCCATACCACTGCCTCTAAGAACACCTCTATATTGATATACTTTAGCTCTCACACAACAGCTCACAAACAATATTGAATTAAGAAAGGCCTTTTTTAAAAGAATTCCTAACTAGCATGATTAATTTCTCTATGTTCCTTCTTATTTTCAACTCCATGTATCACTTTTTTAGTGTGCATATCTTGCCTTTTTTTTTTTGGTACAATATCTTGCCTATTATGTACCAACAAAATCTTGAGTAAGAAAATTTATATAAAATACTTTTCAATGGATATTGCAATGCAATTGAAATGGCAAAATGTTGCATTGAAATATCTTCAATTACAAGCTTAGTTTTTGACTTAAACAAAGACACGGTGAAATTCATTATATGTCATTCATGCAAAGTGTACCATAAAAAAAATCTTTGAAATGAAATTTACCGTGCCATTTTTTTGAAGTCCAAGATCAAGATAATTAATCCAAGGGCCTATGAAGTTAATGTATTTCATGGAAACATTTAACTTTCAGCACAAACAGTGTGAAACGAAACATACCGTTTTCATGCTTCTAAGCATGCTTGCATCTGGAGCACCATTTCCACAAACTTCAAGTACCTCAGAACGAGCGCGATCCTGCCAATCTTGGTGTAGAGCTAACAGCATCAAGCACCATGATGCTGTGATTGCAGTAGTTTCATGGCCAGCAAAGAATATATTTTTGCAGTTGTCTATCATGAACCTGTCACGTGAAATGGAATTTGATAAAGGGCCATCACCACCTTCCAAATTCTTTGCACCCTCAAGGATCATCTGTAAAAGATCCTGCTCATGATTTTCCTCCTGGCGTTGTTTTATGAGCTTTGATATCTTTGAGTTTATCTCTTTCTCTAATCTCCACACCAGCCTGTTGCTTTTGTTTGGCAAGTATCTTAAACAAATATGATACCATTTTCCACATTAGTAGCATCACTAACTAGATAACGAACCAAAATCACTCCCCATTAAGCCCCGATTAGCAAGGCTAGGGGTGAGGTTATCCTTGTACAGGGCTCTACCCTTGCATATTTACGAAGAGGCTGTTTTCCGGATTCAAACCCGTAATCTTTCAGTCACAAAGGAGCAGCTTTACCACTGCTCCAGGCTCGCCCTCTTAATTAGAACATGAACATAATATACAAATATATGGTAAAGAATAAAGATGCAAGCAAAAGGAAAACTTTACAATGGAAAACATGCACACTATATCTCTCACGATTCATGAGCATAAAAGTCTTTTAAGTTATCATACATACCGAAAGCCCGGAATTCCAGCAAATATCTTGGACAGGAGTTTTTGAAGATCTCTAAGCTTTGTGAATATTTCTTTTCCTTCAATATAGTTGCTACCAAAACAAGCTCTAGCAATTATGTCAGCAGACAAGCTTTGCAAATCTTCATCAATTTTAATATCGGAAACTACTCCCTCACTTTCAAGTCTAGTCTCCCAGGACCTTAGCATTATATTTGTGGAGTCAACTATCAGATTAACCATTGCCTTCAACAGGATTAACAGCAAAAGAAAATTATTAGATTGCCATTTTTATTCGATATTTATGATTTAAGTAAAAAGGGAGAGGATCCTCTCATGTCTCATTTTAACATGACCAGAAGATCTCAGTTATCCATAATATATAATGAAAAATCAATAGTCGGCAATTAAAATGACTGTTTCCTCTTCTCTATTTTACAAGCACAATAATTAAAAATTATCTAGTGGCGATCCAACTAGACCCTAGGATTTGACATGCCCAAAAGGTAGTGGATTCGATTCTTGAGAGTCGCAATTCCTGATAAAGGTGAAGAGGCTCAAACCTGAAATCGGATTAGTCGGATAAAACGAAGAAGTGGATAGCATCATTTAAATAGCTGAATGTTGATTTTATCATTAAAAATTATAGATGACTAAGATCAGCCATGTTAAAATGCGATAATGAGAAAAATTATAGATGACTAAGATTAGTCATGTTAAGATGCGATATGAGAGGATCCTCTCCCGAATGAGACAGTTTCTAAACAAACAGTTGCATATGAGACAGCAATACCAACTACTGCATTTATGTCTATCATTTGTCTCCTTTTACAATAGTCTTCAAGGGACATATTTCTTCTCTATGGAGTATTCCATTTCTCTTGAGTGTGGTAGGGTTGGGTATTATACACTTACCTTCACCTTATCGAGGTATAGTTCAGGTGCAATGATCTGCCTCTGATGAGCCCAAATGGGTCCACTTGATGACAATATACCTTGGCCTAAGAGTGGCCCCATATCCTTGGACAGATAAGAAGGTTTCCCTAGATTCAAAGAGGTGTATAGGAAGATTTGCTTCACCATGTTTATATCTGACACCATTAACCACTGTATGTTCCCAGTAGAAAACAAGTATACTGGACCTGCATGTATCTAACTGAAATCAAAATATGGACTTAAGCGAATAGCATTAAAATCATATTAACCTACAAATCGTATAGTACTTAAATCCAAAACCAAGGAAACTTAAACAAAGAAAGGCACACACTGGATGGGACCTCAGTCAGAAAACTAAAGGCCAAAGGGAAAGACCCTACTCCCTGGTCACAAACCTTTAAGAAAGACACAAAACCTTGTATCACATCGTTGTGAATTAAAAATGCACCTATAACTCGGCACTCTGACAAACGAAGCACCAAGTTGGGTGCAACAGTTCTGGATCAATTACACGGCTCAAGGATTGACCCACTAAACCAATGCCTCAAAACCATGCTCAGTGGACTGGTGCCACCGCGTAGTGCCTGAAACCACAACATCCGTGGCAGCTTATGGTTTTGCACAAATGTAAAATTTCTCAAACAAGCTACTTGAGAAGGTCTAAACCCTGCTCTCAAAAGTAGAGACTCACATAATCCACACGAGCATATTCTACCTACAAATGCAAGTCCCTTGTCCTAAGGCATACAAGTTCCTCTAACATAAACTGACTTGAGTATCGAAATCTTTACAAGTGCACACACCACCCCTCGCCATTCGTAGGCTTGATGGCACAATCGCCGCCGCTATACAAATCTTGGGAGAGCCTCATCCTCCCCCCAAAAGCTAGCTTGTAAAGTAGGAGAGCCCAAAATCCATATAAATCCCACACCAGAACCTTATGTTTCTGACGAGGGACCCCAAATCTCATACCTTGCAATTGGATTGTAACAGATACCAAACCACCCACATGTGGACGGGATCCCCATACTTGGGTCAGGACTCTTTTTGCCCATAACTCTGATGAGTCAGAACACACTCAAATTCCACAAAAACGTCCATTTGGGTTTTAGGAAAGATCACAACACGGAAGCCTTCAAAATGCTAAAATGAAAACGCAAACATATTAACACAAATTTGTGCTCAGCCGTTCATTAACCAATCAACTCAATGAACCAATCAACTCAGAAAATAAGCAAAGATCCCAAAACCCCAATTGAAAACATTAAGTGGGTGTTTCTATTTTGTGTTCAAAATACTTCATAATCAAAAACCCTACTAGAGAATGTTTGAAAACCAAAACCAAATATGTAGCAAAAAGTAATAGTGATATATCTGAAAACAACGTAATTATGAGACAGGAAATAGTAGCTGACCATATAGGTTTCTCCACTTTTGAACGTAAGGGAACAAAATGGAAGGCCAAGTGTGTGAAATAGAACTCTCTTTGTCTTTGTCTTTGTCTTTGTCTTTGTCTTTGCCTTGTGTAGTTGGTGTTGACTGAGCTTGAAGTAAAAGCTTCTTCATTTCTGGGATGTTGCCAAAGTAGAAGTGAGGTGAAGGCCCATTAATCCCTTGCTTCTGAATCTTTGCTCTGAGTGATCTTGGCTTCAATATCAACACATTGAAAACATGCAGCAGCAACACCAAAACTAGTCCCAAAAGAACTTGCACTACACTCATCTTTCAACTTTTGACTCTTCCTATCACTGCTCCTTCGTTTTTAGATGAAAAAAACAACTCAACGGGTATTCATTTGTAAATTTGTCGGCGGTGGGAGTGGATCCTCTGTCGTGTTAAATAAAAGAGTAAAGTAACTTTGGGTTCGGTTACAATGAGAAGATCTGCACGTGAGAACTGAGAAGAAGAATTTGATGCTGTTACGATTGAGTATGTAGTTAACATGTGTATTGAATTAGGAAGTTAGTGGTAGTGTACAGAGACACGTCAGCAAGAGTGTTAATACATTGTTAGTGGGATACACGTGGAAAGGGTAGCAATCACGTTAGTGTATGGGTTAGTGGATTATAAGGTGTGTTTATAAACCCAGAAACTCATTCTTTAATAAATCAGGTTAGTGTATGGATTAGTGGATTCTTCGTCATTTTCTTTTTTAATTTGGGGCAAAAGCACCCACGTAATAACATTTGGTAAATGTTATCCTCGGTAAAAGCACCTTCGAAATGTTTGATCGGAGTAAGGCAGTCAGTGGCGTAAGTGCCGTAAGAAACCATTACATGACTGATTGAGATGGCAACCCAAGTCAATCCTATTATCGTTGGAGATCGACAATACACAAATCGAAAAACGGAAAAGAAAAAAAAGAAGAGAATAGAGACAGCAATTTATTTATTCTGTTTCACCCAATTTATGTTACGTTCAGCTTGTCTGTACTATATTCACTTCACCGCCACTCCTTACAATCTCTCAGTTTACAAGACAAATATAGATAGGATTACAAAACCCTAACAGCAGCTATTCATGGGCCCAAGTCCAAACTACTAAGAAAATTACAATAAAACATAGGCTCACAACAATCATCAGTGTGAAGTATGAGCCATACCCAACAATCATCAGGTGAGACGACACTAATGCCATTACATATCTCGACGCCACTAATGCGTCAGTAGCTGTTACGGCACTACCTCTCATTGCTCATAACCTATGTAGCACCGATACATACGACACGCGACACGACACGACAATTCGACATGTCAATCCTAAAAAATTATGGATTTCAACACGTTAGGACACGTTTTAATATTGAATAATATTTTTAATTTATATAGTGTATATTTCATTTAATATTTAATAATTTAATAAAAAAAATAAACTAAATTAATAATATCCATCAACACGTTATAAAGATAGAAGATTTAATAAAAAAAAATAAAAATTGAGATGGGAGAGATATATAATATCAGATAGAGAGATCAAATCATATTAGAGAGATCAGAGACAATGAGATACAACAAGATACAACAAGAGCGTGATAGGAATTGACAACAATGACGCTGGGATGATCTCTTATCTACTTAAGGAAAAAAAGACAAAAAAATAAAATTGATATGATCATGTGGAAGCTTTATTAATATATTTTAATTTTTTTTTTTTAAAAATTTAAAAAAAAATTATAAAAACACCATTTGACCGTGTCGGTCAAGGTCAAATTTGCGTGTCGGAAAAAGTTGACCGCGTGTCCGACACCGTATCAGAGCGTGTCGGACACTACTCTCCCTACTTTTACAAGTGTCCGTGCTTCCTTGCTCATAACTTTCGAGTTGCTCGCCCCCCTCCCATACCCTCTTTCGTATGTTGCATTTCTCGTTCTCTTTATGTAACAATATTTTGTGTGTCACCAAAGTTAAATGTCCACCTTAGATATCCCCTGTTTTTCTTTATGTAACAATAGTGTGCACATACCAGCCAAAGTAACAATACTGTCACCAAAGTACATTTTCTTACATATGTATAAAGTAACAGAATTAGCTAGTGTGAAGAAATTAAGGTATAATTAATTATAATCAGACAGTGAAAGTGAACTATACACTTGTATATTCTCTAATTACTTAATTTTCTAATTAATTAATTCACTATTTAATTAGTTCACTAATTATTAATTGACAAATCAGGCTTTATCCTAAGGTTGTACAAATAATATACAACATATTTCACAAAATTTAATTATTAATTTGCCAATTATTATTCTCTATTTATTTAGAAAAACTAATTAATTAATTCACTAATTATTCTTTTATTATAATTTCACAAATAAATTTTTATTATAATTTCACTAATTATTATTGTCTAATGACTTAATTTATAAATTTGATTAACTCACTATTTATTAATTGCCTAATTAGGTTTCTATCCTATCCTAAGGTTCTATAAATAATATAAAACATACATCAAATAAATTCTTATTGTAATTTCACTAATTATTATTGTCTAATTACTTAATTTATTAATTAATTAATTCACTAATTAGGCTCTATCCTATCCTAAGGATCTACAAATAATATACAACATATTTCAACAAAAATTAATTATTAATTCACTAGTTATGCATCTCTCTAATTTCTTAATTCACCAATTAATTTTCACTAATTAGGTTTTAAAATTCACATTAATATAATTTAGAAAAATATTAAATAATTAGCATCTATCCTAAGGTTTTATAATTAACATACAAAATAATTTACAATAATTATTAATTAATTTATTAATTAGGCTTCTATCCTAAGGTTTTACAAATTTTAATTATTAATTAATTAATCACTAATTAAGATTATTTATTTATTATTTCACTAATTATAATTATTTATTATTTTTTTCAATTATTAAATATATATTCTACAATTTTATAATTAATAGGAAAAAAAATTTATCTTTATAAATGACACAACTTGTGTCATTTAATTCTCACAAAAAAGTATAACTCACACTTTTTTTTGTTCACTCTCTCTCCTCATGATTTATCTTTCTCTCACTTAAAATGACATAATTTTACATTCTTTAAAATGACACATATTTTTTCCTAAATAATATATATATATAATTAAATGACAAAAAATTTAACAAAGAAACAAAATAAAATAGAGAGAGAATGAGATTTGTTAGCCTTTCAACGAGTTGTAATTAAGTTAAGGAAAAACAAGAGACTTAAAAAACAGTTGGCTGCACAGTATTGTTACATAAAAAAAATGGTGGATATCTGACGTGGACATTTAACTTGGAATAAATCTTTGGTACTACTGTTGTACTTAAATTCAGTGCATTTCATCAATGAAAACATTACACATCAGAGGAGAGAGAAAAAATTTAACAAAAAAAAAAAAAAATTTAACTAACATGTATTATTTTCATTGGTGAAATGTACTGAATCTTTGGTACAGCAGTAGTACCAAAGATTTATTCTTTAACTTGGTGACACACTGGATATTGTTACATAAAGAGAACGAGAAATGCAACAAATGAAAGAGGGTATAGGAAGAGGGAGAGCAGTGCCGTCACAGCTGCTGACACCTTTAGTGGCGTCAAGATATCTAACGGCATTAGTGTCGTCTCACCTGCTGATGGGATTAATTTGGATTGCCAACCAGCCACGTAATGGTTCTTTACGACACTAATCACGTCAAGTGTGTTTACGCCACTAACTGCCTTACTCCAGTGATACATTTCGAAGGTGATTTTACTGGGTATAACATTTACCAAATGTTATTTCATGGGTGCTTTTGCCTTAACATTGGTGTTTTTGTTGAGAGTTGAGATCACATAAATGGCTATTTATAGGCTGGATTAAGGTGCCTTTGGGCGCTGAATACTGATAGGTGAGTGAAGCAGCCCCAAAGAGGAGAAAGAGCTACTGTCGGGTCAGTGTCGATAGAATGAAAGTTGCCATAGATGTCGGCCCTTATAGGGGTGACAATGTTACAAGTCTCATATTGGTTGTATAGGAAACTAACGTGGGGTTTATAAGGCCTTTGGCACTCCCATCCTTTGAGCTAGCTTTTGAGATGGTGATCTCAAGGTCCATAACAATTGGTGGCGTCAGTATTTGTTAGGCTCCAAGTTCGTTATTCGCACTGACCACCGTAGGGTGTTTGAGGATGGTGATCTCAATACCATTCTTTCGGAACCGATCTTTGATGTGCTCTCTAAGATCAAGCAACAGAACACTACAGATCCTCATTTACTAAAATATCATCAGCAACTTATGGATAACCCATATGGTGACCCTGAATTGTTGAGATTGTCTGCTACTTTCTACTGGTCTTCTATGCGTCAGGATGTTAAAACCTTTGTTCTAGATTGCCATGTTTGTCAACAAGTTAAATATGAAACTTCCAAGTCTTCTGGTCTATTGCATCCGTTACCCATACCTGAAGGAATCTTCAAAGAGCTTTCAATGGATTTTATTGCTGGGTTACCAACTTCCAAAGGATTCACCACCATCTTGGTGGTGGTAGATAGATTGCCAAAGTTTGCATATTTTGGGAGTTTACTTACATCCTACACAGCTGCAAAGGTTGCTACATTATTTTGTGATCTCATTGTTCGTGTACATGGTTTCCCTCGTTCAATCTTGATAGATCGAGACAGTATTTTCCTTAGTCAGTTCTAAACCCACCTCTTCAAATTGAGTGGCACAACATTGAGGACTTTCCTCTTACCATCCTCAATCGGATGGCCAAACAGAAGTAACCAATAGATATTTGGAGCAATACCTCCGCTCTTTTTGCTATGAACAGCCTCACTTATGGTCTCAATTCCTTGATTGGGCCCAGTATCATTATAATTCAGCCATTTATTCTGCTATAGGCATGACTCCTTATCAAGCAGTGTTTGGGAAACCCCCAACCATGATTCTTTTTTATCCAAGAGGACTCATCAAGATAGAAGCCATCGACACCATGTTGCAATAGTGCAATGACGTATTGATGTGACTGAAATTGCATTTTCCAAGGGCTCAAAATCATATAAAGGTACAATATGCTAAACACCACAAGGAGAGATCATTCAAGGTTGGAGACCAGGTCTAGGTTCGCTTACAATCTTACCGTCAGGTTACTGTGGAACGCAGAGCTAATCATAAGCTTAGTAAGAGATTTTTTGGTCCCTTTGAAGTCTCTCGTGTTCTAGGTCTTGCTGCATATGAGTTGAAGCTTCCTCCTGGATGTCAGATTCATCATATATTTCATGTTTCCCAATTAAAGCCTTGTGTGGGATTTCAGCCATTGCCTGTGAATCCTTTGCCTCCTTCTGCTGTTGACAACAAGCCAGTGCAAGTCCCTTTTGCTATTTAGGTGAATGAAATGTCTCTTCTCAAGGTAGTCAAGTTCGT